TTTTTGCGATTGATTCTTGATCCAATGCTGAGATTATGGGTGTGAGTGCTACACCCGCTCTGGGGCCGGTATAGCCTGAATACAATGTAGGGAGGGCAAAGAGACTTGCTAGCTGCCTCAGCTGTGGCTCAAGCTGCTTTGCTGTTTTCCACCGCCTTGAACTGCTGCCCTCAGCCATGTGTCACTCTGGAGCCAGCTGAGTATGTGTCATTCTTGGAGCCAGCCGAGTATGGACGGAAACCTCCAGTAACCGTGAGCTAAATAAGCCTTTCCTTCCTTAATTCTAGGTATTGGGCATTTTTGTCCCAGCAATGAGAGAAGAGTAACTGAGCCAGGAACCCTTGCGAATGCCCAGACTTGCAGCTTGGGCTCATCGGCTGTAAGAGAACAAGTCACGATATCATTACCTCAGCTGTCCCCTCCCACAGGTCTTGGTCCTTGCACTAGGAATAAGAGTGAGCTAATATTCATGGGATTGAAAGCTCAGCTTCAATTTACTTCAGTGTCAATCTGCACATCATTAAAATATCTGGGATTGCCCGTTTCCTGATCAGTGGGCTGCCAGAGGCAAATGCATGCATTCTCCGTAAGAATACGCAATCCAGAGCCTCAGGTTAGTTTTATGCATTTTCAAGGACAATGTCTGGCATCTAATAAACACAACTATGCACACAGGAATGTAAGATATGATTAAAAACCCAGTGAAAGGGCAATAGTGGGAACAGAATTATAAAAGAGCTGAACAACGTACTTATCGAAGTTAAACTTTAGGACAGCAATGACTCCCTTGAATGGAATGCTTGTGTCCCCAAAAATTCACAAGCTGAAGCCCTAGTCTCTCATTGATGATATTTGTAGGTGGGATTTTTGGGAGGTAACTAAAGAAACTCGATTCTTCCTCTCTCTCTTCCCTCTCTTCTCTGTCTCTGTCTCTCTGTCTCTCTGTCTCTGTCTCTCTCTCTCTCTCTCTCTCTCTCTCTCTCTCTCTCTCTCTCTCTCTCTCTCTGAGCTTCCAGAACTGTGAAAAATAAATTTACATAGTCTAGTCTATGGCATTTTATTTTACTTGTTTGGCAAATTGAGTTGCCACAGTGGTTAATACATTCAAGAAATTGAGGAATAAGGTTGGGGATTTGGCACAGAGAAGTAAAAACTGTACAAATAAATAGAAATTCTATGAGAGAGAAAAATAACTGAAATCAAGGCTTTAATTTGTTTAAGAGTAGATAAGAAACAAGAACAAATAAAATAGAATATATGGTCTCTAGGCTGAAGCACAGAAAATACTGAAAAGGATGCGAACTATCAAATAAAGTGTAAGAGATTGAAATACACTAGAGTAAAGAGAGAAATATTGTGCTTTTCCCCTTATAATTGGGGTTTGTACCTCTTTTCTTGCTATAGCGTTAATCTTTTCCGATAGACCACCTGAATTTAATAAAAAATTATTAGTGAACCCTTGAAATATCACAATGAATGGAG